ATGTGAGCTAAATTGCGAAGGCACCGGTAGTCTAACGTAACTAGCCTCTTTATGTCCGCTGATCTAAAGGGCCAGGCTTCACAACCGTACAGTAGGGTCGAACGTACCGCTGCATTGTACACTCTACCCTTCAGAGCGAGAGTGATGTCGCGCCGGCGCCATAAATGGCGAAGCTGAGCAAAAGCGCCTCGAGCTTTTGCTATACGGTTCGTGATCTCATCTTCACTCCCACGGACGCTGATACAACTTCCCAGGTAGTTGAATTTCTGAACGACTTCTAGCTGATCCCCATCAAGGGTCAGCGAAGGAGGCGGTCCAGGCCAATGTTGGAGGAACGCTTTGCACTTCGAGGGTGCAAAGCAAAGCCCGAAGCGGTTGACAGCCAGTGCTAATCTGTCCAGTGCCGCTTGGCACGTCTGGGAGCTGTCACAGATTAAGGCAATATCGTCAGCATACTCCAAGTCAAGAAGTCGTTCTCCTGGGAGCACATCCACACCTTCTAAGTCATGCCCTGTGAACGCGATTTCCATGACTTCATCAATAGCGAAGTTGAAGAGGAAAGGTGACAACGGGTACCCTTGTCTCACACCGCTGGAGATATTAAAGGGCGACGACAGCTTGCCGTAAGCCCTCATTCTGGCTGAGCTACGCGCGTATAATGATCGGATAATATTTACATTTTTCTCAGGCACACCATTCCTGAGTAGGTAGTCCCAAAGTGCACGTCTATCCACCGAATCGAATGCACCTTTGATATCGAGGAACACGACGACGGTGCGCCGCCAATATATGTGACGGTGCTCCAACAACTGACGCAAAGTGAAGATGTGGTCAATGCAGCCACGACCTCGACGAAACCCGGGTTGCTCTTCATGAATATGGTTTTCACGAGTGTGAGTCAGTCTGTGAAGGATGACAGAGGCAAGCAATTTGGAGGCGATGGAGATCAGACTGATTCCTCTATAGTTGCCGCATTCCGATCGTGAGCCTCCCTTGAAAATTGGGACTATGACGGAGCGGCTCCAGTCGGTTGGAACAGTTTCCTGCTCCTACAGTTTCACTAGTAACTCGTATAAATCATCCACAAGAGCAGGTCCCCGAATTTAAAGAGGGATGGAGGTAGACCATCTGGTTCTGCGGCTTTATTTAACCTTAACAGTGCGATCTCACGTTCCACTTCTGAGCGAGAGGGTGGATCCAAAGGGACATCCCAGGGAGCGGGCGATCAGTGGTCGGCGAGAAATCTAACAATTCCAACCGATTAAATTGCCTTTCAAATGCTCAGCCCAACGCTCCAAGGGCTTTGACAAGTTGTGGATAGACTGTCCACTCTCGTCACGTATAGTTTCACTAACACCAGGTCTTCTGCTGCCCGTTTCCTGTATCAGCCGGAATAACTTACGATGGTTACCAAGAGCAGTGGCCATTTCTATCTCTGATCCACGATGAGACCACCAGGATTCGCGGTCTCTCTTCAGGCTAGCACGAAGTTTTGCCTGGAGCTCTTTGCGAGTTTCATTGTGTTCGCTTCCAGCCGGAATATGCCGGCGAGCACCAATAAGTTCCAGAGACTGTGAAGAGACCCAATGTCCATGTTGGCGATTAGACTTACCACATGAGGTATTCCTGCTGCTAGTAAGGAGTGGTGAATATGAGACAAGTGAGCGATTATGCAACTCGCAGGACAGGGTAGTTTGATAGGCATTCAGAACAGCTGATTTCACCAGTTGGCTGGTGTCAATGCGCTCACAACATCGTCGTGGGTGTCCGCCAAAACGCATCCGTCGATCAGTACATACAAGTGCATGGTCGGTGTCCACACCTGTGCTCCATATCGAGCGACAGTTCTGGATGCAGCCTCTCCATCAGTAACTTATCGCAATGTGATCGATTTGCGTCCATAGCTGGTTCGAGGCTGGTGGGCGCCAAGTCACCCTCCGGCGGATGCTGTGTCGGAAATTAGTGCTCGCAAGAAATAAGCGAGCATCTTCACACAAATGAAGTAACCGCTCACTGTTATCATTACGGGAGCCTACACCATGTTGGCCGCTCAGATGCAGTTCGTCAGTGGATAATTTTCCAACTTGAACGTTCAGATTCCCAGCCAGCAGTACAGTGTCCGAGCCTCTTCTGTGGCTAAGGAGCTCGTTCAGTTGACGGTAGAAGTCGTCTTTTACCGAGTCATCGCCACAGTTTGTGAGTGCATAGGCAGCGATGACGAATAGACACCTGTTAGTCCCGCGCGACTTCGAAGCTTTGAACGAGCGAGCCAATCGGACCGCACATATCCGGCTACTGATTGGAATCCAGTCAACTAGAGCAGCTTCAGCCCGGGGACTCAGGGCAATACCAGCACCGGCTTGGCCGGTGCTCGGAACTGCATCGTCATCTTATAGGCGCAATGAGAAAGTACTGCTAGTGTCACCTGAAGGGGAGCACAGAGCTCCAGTCTTGCAGGCGGGTCTCCGATAAGCAGCAGATATCGATCGATAGGGTGTCTAATGTTCGGACAAGTGCTGTTTCTTGACCGATCTGAGGCAATGTGCGAACACTGAGGCATGCCAATCTGAAGGAGAATCGAGGGCTCCAAATGGAAGCCGATGAACTAGAATGGACGGCTTGCTTGGACATGGGCCTGTTGACAGGGCAGGAATGACGCTCCACGTTCACATGTAAGTTGGAACTAAAAGACAAGCGACTATTGAAGCAAGGTGGAGGAGGGCCAAGAACTGGGAGTCGGAAACAGGGGGGATAAAAGTGAAATTGGTATGGGACGATAAGGGTGAATAGCGTAAGAGGTGGAATTAGAAGACGGGAAGGCTTGAGCAGTAGCATCCAACCCCCTATCCACCCTGATCGATGCAGCAGATAGGGCACCGTTGATTACCCTTGCGATGGCCAGCGCGTCGGAAATTGGTTTGAAGAAAAATTCGTTGTATTGCGTGGGCAGGATACTGTCAGGTTGTCCAGGCCTGGACAGGAGAACGATTAGGGTTCTCAACCAAAGCCTTTGGTTCATAAACCTAACCGCAAGGCAGCGTGTTTGGCGCCGGGCTACAAGGAATCCGTTTTGAGGAATAAAGAGCCACCTCATTCCAACCCCTAACCTGGAGGACCAGGAAGCTGAGTTTGTCTGGCCTCTAACCTTTGACCAATCTGGTATGAGTGACTCTGAAGGTGCAAAAAGCACCACCTAGCGTTGCTCAATTGATCACTGAGGCACGCAAACCATCGCACCACGGTAAGATCCAGCCACATTGCGATATAATCCATCCATCCATGGTTCGTCAGTGGGCTTGATACTACCCGGGTGCCCAGGCCGATGTAGAGGTTTGCTTTAAGGGGTTCTACCCAAGTCTTTGATACAGGATCTAACCTACAAGGCAGCAGAGCGATATGAGGGAATCGCAACCCGTTGGGAGCCGCTGACTAAACAAGTGGTTCATACGCCTTTCGATCCGTGAGGGTCCAGGGGCACAACGCACCCTTGAATTACAATGCCACTCAGAGTGAGGCAAGGGCAGTGACTTTATTTAGTGGAGAGTCATATCTGCCACGTCACAGCGTTGTTACACGAACATATGTGGCTTTTTATAAGGAGAAGGCTTGTCAGGCGAAAACCCACCAGGTCCATGGAATACTGCCGCCGGATCCTTCGCTGGGACGGGTTTGGCAGTGGACTACAAGGAGTCCGTTTTAAGGAATGAGGAGCCACCCTCACTCCAATCCCCAAGCTGGAAGACCAGGAGGCTGAGTTTGTCTGGACTTTAATCACTGACCAATATGGTATGAGTGGCTCTGAAAGTGCAAAAAGTACCACCCGGCACAGCTCAATGGATCTCTAAGGCACACAAAACATTGCACCACAGTAAGGTTCAGGCTCCTTGCGATGGTGAACCAATGACTCCGGATTGCCAGGGGCAGATGGTGTAGTCATTGTCAGCAGGTTCGGAACGAGAGATCAGAAAATTCATCAAAACGCTGTAATGCTGTGTGCGTGTTTCGGAGACAGAGCACACATTATTACCCATAGATTACGAGGTGTGATTTAGGGCTGTCTGTTGGTCAATCCTACCCGGAGAGCGGACATTAAACGAACCAACTATCCAGCTTGAAGAATGAGCTGCATGTCTCTGCAGCATCATTTGTGAGGTCAGCGGCACTCTCTTACTCAATGGACGAAGAAGATAGTTACAAGTAGAGAAAAAGAACTTGAAGGATATTTGGTATCTTGGTCGAGAGGGCGGATGACGATCTCCCGTTGTACATTCTAAGACAGGGGTTTTGTTCGAGGTGCCCTACCTATAGCCTTTGACTCAACAGTTTGACCCAGAAGGCAGTGGGAGTATATGGAGGTCTACTTGAGGTAATCCACCAGGAGCCTTTGTTTCAATAGCCTGTCCCATAAGGAAAATGGGGGAATGTGATTGCAGAGACCCACTAGGATCAGCTTGAGATCCCTCACAGACAGCGTTTGAAGATTTAGAACAAGTTTTGCCCAAGATCATATGTTATAACGCAGTCTACATATGACCTTTGCCTGAAATTCGCGAAGTAGATAAAAGGTTACCGGGGAAACACCAAACAAGTAATGGAGTAGGGAGAAAATCAAATGGAGATTACCTGTGAAATCAGATGAGGACCCAAATGGCGGTCCAATAAGAAATGAGTCAGTGGTAAAGCAAGATGACTACAATAACCCTGTCAGAGCAAGCATCCAACACAGCGCAACTGAAGATCAAAGAGCCAAGAAGGAAAATACCCAGCTAGGAACCCGAAACACAGGCGGAAGAAACGTGACCACCAACATGAGATGTGATGAAGACTACACGAGTCCTATAGTTGTTCTGGGCCTCCTTTCCCATAAATACAAACGGCCGAAAAATGCGGGCGACAACGGCATTGGAGAGGAAGCTCATAATTATTCTATCTTACGACTATGTTTTAAATTGAGAGAAGTGATGGGGTCATAACACCGTCATACAATCAAATTCACTGACCCTTTATGTGTAATTGAAGTGCAGCTGACATCCAATTCCTCCAAACAGGGACAGCAGGTAGCCAGGGCTTCCATGGTTAAGTCGCCCACAGCAGCAAGTCCACATAAGTCCAACACGCGCAGTCGGGGTAAGCGACGCAACATCTGGGCAATTCCAGCTTCATGCTTTAGTGACCGCATGTTGGCCAAAACAACCTCTTCCAGATGTGGGCATTTGTCAGCCAGTCGAGTTAGATTCGAGTCATTGGCAAGAGCTTGTGTACCGCGCAGGTCCAAGGATGCAAGAAGAGGAAGCTGAAGGAAGGTGCAAATCCAGAGAAACAAGGAGTGACTAAAATTTGACAAACCACGAGGTCACATGTGGTATAGTCTGAAAATATTTGCTATCAAACTGCACAAATAATAATAATAGTAATGTGTCAGCTGTACGCCGTAACGGCGCTTCGCTGCCGCGCGACCACCACCAGTCGCGCGCGGGCTAAGTATACCGCGAGGACGCCCACCCCTACGTGGATTCGAACCGGTAACCTTATGGTTGCAAATCAAACGCGCAGACCACTCGGCCACCGGCCGACTTCAAACTGAACAAAGGATGTATCCAGTTCAACAGAAAAGTGAAATAATTACACATCTGCAAGGTGCAACGCGAGACGTCATTCGGTTTATGAGCTGCTTTGATGGACGTGATTCGATTAATAAACTCAATTGATCACAAGAACAAAACGATCAATCAAGCAACGAAATGCATTTGTTCAGGTGGTCATAACAGTAAACAAGAGCTAAAAGCGGGGAAAAACGGGAACAAAAGGAAAAGAAAGTCGGTGTGCAAAGGAAAGAGGAAAAACTGGAGGCACTAGACAGAGGGACTGAGGACGCAGAGTAAGGCGGAACAGTGCCGTTCGGATAAACGTATTTGTCTTCCAAGGTCTGAGTACAATTGAGTCTGAACTGGATTGAAAACGCGAGTGTTCAACCGGAATCGCACAGAATTTGAAAAACGAGTGTGGGTAGAGATAAGTGGTAAATTAGTTTATAACCTGCAGTTGTAGTATCGAGCTCAGAGAGGTATGTAGCTGAAGCTGATTAAAAAGTTGACGTGACAACGAATTCTACAGATTTTATTCCTACAAGCCCCGTCACTGAAATCTACTGTAATGCCGATTCCTGGGATATATTCGGCGGGCGATTTAAGCAATAGAAGGAAATGATCGTGAAGAGTAGCAGTGGCTAGATGGGAGAGTGTATTTGCCGTTTCATAGACAGCACGGACGGAAAGTCGAGGTTCGTTGAGTACAACCCCCAACATTTCGGTTGTAGGACGGCAGGAAGGTAATCAATCGTAGCAAAAAGAGAATTTAGGACAAGGAAAATAACCGTAACGAGCTAGAAATGGTAGCGACTGACCAAGGAAGTTAAAAATAGTAAACATATAGTGAACACTCCTCTAACTGGGTGGAATGTAGTCCGGTATTCGTTGAAAAGGCTATTTCGTGGAGCAGCGGCTAAGCCACGGAAGTAAAACGCAGATGAACCGTTCATAAGTGACATAAATGAAGGACATATCCATAGGTGTTTCTCACAGTAGTGAGAAAGCTTTTAGAACTAAATAAGTCATTAGTGAATCATCAAAGTGAAAGTGCTCCACCAAGCGCCATCTAGAGCTAAAAGGATGAGTGGATCGAGCACATTTACGTGGTCAATAAACCCAACGGATGTTCTGTGCATCCTGTTGCACAAACCTAGTTAATTAATAAAAGTGAAGAGTTTAGCAGCATTGAGTGCGTACGATCGACTATCGATGCAAACACATCAGGGCCATTCAAGGTCGTCTGGTTATTGGCCTCTCTCGATTGCTTTATCTCATAAACCTCAATGAAAGCAGAGATTAGCGTTTGGAGAGCGGGGTCGGATTGGTACAGGTTCGCATGCCCGGTGTGATGGGGAGGGGGGGGGAATGCATAGAGTTGAAATCTCTGATACAAATGTCACGTAATTGGAACAGATTGCTGCGTTGAGTAAATCACGTAGTCAGGTCTCAAGAACAGTTAAAGTGACTGCCAAACATGGCCATTGTTAGCCTATATGATCATGGTAACCACAAAATATCAAACGCAGTTAGTTCCCAATAAATTAAAAAGCACGTGCTTTTCAAACATCGAAATAGCTGGTGTGGCCATGTGCATGTGACAACACGTGTGCTGATTCGATCAGAAAGGGAAGTGTAAGAGAACGAAACTCCTAGACCATCGCATTGCCATGACTTGCACTTTATAATGCCTGCGTAGAGTCAACGTAGTTAGGCCTACCAGATTGGCTTTTATTCGTTGAGCCTCCAGATTCAGCAGAAACTGAGACAGTAGCGATGATCTGTAGGTTGGAAGAACGGAACGGAGCCACGCTCGACGAAAGACGGGAGGCTGCTCGGTTTGCGGACACAAGTGGTGCCATCACATGATGCAGTAATCTGTGACCAGGGGGCACGTGTTTAATACGAGAGCCCTATGTTGTGCCCCATGCTGAGGCTGATGTTGCATTCTTGATGCTTCTTCACCGCAGTTGGGCTAAACCAAATTACACTTAAACTAGGGCTTTTTAAGCTGGATAAATTTCAATCCACTTTATTTGGTTTGTTTTGTCTACCTGAATAATGTTCTATTAACTGGCCACGTTGCTTACACTAATTGCGCTTATCTTCGGTAACTTTGTTGCGTTTGTAGCATTTTTACTAATTTGTGGACATTTCTTACTTATCACGGATTCGTTGCTAACCAACTTACTTCATATGGTAATTTAGGGAAGAGTTATGCCACCGTATCTGCATGCATTACTGGATTTATTTTATTTCAGCTTGTCGTTTAAAGTGAATGGCAGTTGCTTGATATCCCCATGGTAACTGCGCTTGATGTGCATGTTGACAAGGCGCCTACCTGTCTATTACCCACTACCTCGTCCATACTGGTTCTAGGAGACAATTGGTCGTTCCTCGACGGGACGGGGTGCACGGTCCTTGTGGTCGTGCTAGGCTCGAAGAGTGGTTCCATGCACTCAGTGTGGAGCGGACTACAGTCCACCCACCGCCTTGTGTGCGCTTGTGTTTGCCTGTGAAGGAGTGTGGGCCGGCTCCGTTAATGAAAATTGACTCCCATCCACACACCTCCCGGTCTTATTCCTTCGGGTTTACACTGGATATGGGGTGTGTGGTTGGAGCTGTGGGTGGTGCAGCGCAAGCCATCCATGGTCTCTCTGTAGGCGCAGGCGTCCTGTGGCTGGCAACAGTGACAGGCAAATCCGAAACCGGATGCCGCCAAACATGTTGTTCCGTAGTAAAAAGAAATGACTGAATGAGTGTTAAGCCTGTGCCATGATAATAATAATAAATAAAAATAAAAATGGGACCAAAATGATAGAAGATTCCGGCATCGTCTCCGCCAGATGATAGACAAGTGTTAGTATGCGGCCGAACTTGTACTAGTGTACCAAGTAAGGAAGTTGCTATGTAAATCCAGCCATGACAAGCCAGATTCTAGTTATCGCCTCATGTAGTTACCTCTTTCATTTAAACGGAAGCGTAATGCACATTTCTTTCTTAAGGACGTCAGTCGATCGCTTTTCTTTGCCTTCTGTGTTTGCGTATCGTGCTACAAATCTCTTAGGGTATCCGTTTTCCCGTAATGTTGAAGATACGTGCTCCAGCTCACTGTTTATTGTATCTTCAGAGCAAATTTTACGAACTCTCGCAAAGGCGGTGTGAACCAATGCTCTTTATAGTTTATAGAAAACTGTGAAAGTTTTGGTACTGTCCTGTTCACGTGGACTTGTGATACACGGATCAAATGAGCGTACCGTCTGGATTTGTCTCTAACTTCACATCCAAAAAATGGAATGTGTTATTCATTTCACTTTTCATCGTATACGGTTTACCAAAGACTCATAAGAAAACATCACCATGCGTCCGACCGTCTCAATTATAAACGCACCGTATCAGAAACTGGCACGATTGCAAGCCCAGCTTATCGAGCCTATCCGACGTGAGCTTGTGGTAGCAAGTACGTGGGCCGAACTGAGAGAAGGCTGTCAACCAGGATTTCAGAGCACATTCCACATACTATGGTCGCGAACGGTCCCAAGCTGCCGGCAAGCTCCATTGCCTAACACCTCCTAGACTGCCCCGTATGTCAAAATCCCCGCGAATTGTTCAAGATAATAAATCGACAGAGCAGTCCTCAAGTATAGAATGTCAGCTTACATACCGAGCCAGGAAGTAGGTGAATGGATCGGGTATGATCTGGCTGAGTACTCCTCTCCTAACGAGTAGAGGTCTATGAGATAGTCATATCCGATTTGTGTCCGCGTGTGTTTACCAGAATAGATGTTATGGTGTGCACTAAAACGACAGTTCAGATCCATGCATACGGATTCATGAGGTACCACATTTAAATTAGCAGGTGGCTTTAACAATAGCAAGCCACATGTACTAACCTGTTTGTTAATGGTAGCGACGCGGTTTCGGCATTCTTACCTTAGTGGGGACTACGTGTCAATCAGCGGTTTAGTGGCAAAAGGTATGAAGTGCCGGTCACAACGTATTGCCGGAATGTGAAGCTCCAAATATTCACTTTAGATGGCGTAAGATGCAGGCCATAAGTGGATAGCGTAGAGCCCAAAATGTACGGGGACTAGGGTGAGGTAGGTCATGTCAATGTAGCCCAATTGAAGTGAAGAAAGACAAAAAACATCAATCACAACAGCAGAGCTCTAGTGAACTGTGGGCACTTGTCAGATGCCACGAGTAAGACAAGGAAAAACAAAGTGGCTCATCGAACATCAATGTGTTGAAACCAGAGAGAGAAGTACGACACTATCGGGACAAAATTAGATTCGCAAGTCCTTGTCTAAAGTGTATAAGCTGTGAAGCCTGGCGCACTGCATCGGTAGTTTGGAAGTTGTCACTTTATCCATAGTCGAAATGAGCTGAGGAAGCAGTGGTAGGTAGCACTTGCTGTTTTGTGTGTAACATCGATTACAGCTGAATTGGATTAGACATCTCTGTGGAAATCTGGATGCGAGGAGAAAAACGGAGATAACGTTACCACCGATCACTAGTGAACTGTTCCGAGATAGCTTAACGCTGCCCGGAGTCGAACACAAGAAATTTGTGACACCGGTAATGTTGACCCTAGGAAATAAGATGCACACATTCGATCGATGCAACAGGATTCTCTCCGCTGAGTGTATCGTTTAAAGGAATCAGTAGTACGTCGGTATGCAGCTGCGTGCGGAGTACCGCTTTTAGACACAGTGGGGGCCGAAGTGCCACTTGACATCCACCTACAGAGTCCAGGGCAGAATGCGAAAAAAGTGACGATCGATTTGGAGTACATAGGCACAGAAAACAAGTTCGATCATCAAATGGGTCAAAAGGCGTCGTGTGGAAGATCATGAAGCGGGTACCAGAAAATTGTGGCAAAGCTGCGAACCAATGGTGATAACACAAGAGCGAAACTGGTAGCTCACAAGTGCTCACTTTGCTAACAAGCTCCAATAAGCCGTCCGAGGACAGATGGTACAGATGGCCAAAAGCGAGTGCGCGCAGCTGCTGGCATCGACCAAGTAGGGTGAAGATGTCAGAATTCAGCCGAAAGCATCCAAAGAGTTCGAGCCTTTGCTGGAAAAAGACCGAGCAAATTAAGATTGGAACGGCGGTATGGGAAATGAAAAGCGAAGGTAAATAGTACCACAAGACTAGCGAGAACGTAGGTCGAAACCGGTGGAGCCCAGCCACTTCTGAACTCAGACGGTGATGGCAACCGCTCAGGAAGCAACTACCGCTCCCGGTGTCCGTGGTTTTGGTAATCTACCGACCCGACTTGATAGATCTCGCGGCGAATAGAAGCGATTCAACACAGAATGAATCAAGTGGCCCTGTAGCCATCCTTTAGCCGGCCGGCCGACCCACTCTGCACCATGCCAGCGTTCCGCACACCGCGTAGCATATTCGGTCAGGTACTATATAAAGGAAGTGACTGCCTTGGTAGAGCTGCGAAAAAGATGTGAAACGTAGGTTTCTCAGCATGCTGATTTACATCATTCTAGCACATCTGTCAAAAATGGCGGAGTGTCAAGGGCGGAGACGTGTTGGGTGAGTCTTTGAAATTGGTGTGATCGATGTAAAAGTATGACTCTATGCTCCAATGCAAGGTTGATGGAAGGATCCGTTTATCATGTGCAACCGGACATGGATAGGCCATTTCAACTTCGAACAGATAACTGCTGGGCACAATGAAGCTGGAACTGGAGTCCAGAGGTGTACCACCTTCAGACAGGAATAATACTCGATATGCTAAAACACATCTGGAGTTGGAGACGCTGTGGCTTGGCAGATAATGAGGTGTCCTTTGCAACTATAGCGTGTTCATGCTCCGCAATGACCGCAAGGTATTCTATATGCTCATTGTTACCGTGAAGGTTCATATGAGGGTGGCGATGAATCAGCCTTTGATTTGAACTCCAAAAGTCGACAAGCTGTTTCCGGTTTGCTAAGAGAAGCTACCCAAGGCACACTTTTTGATAGTGATAATTACTCAGCACGCTGTGTGGACACCTAATCCATCTCTGTACACTGCACCAGAAGGTGAGTAGACCGAAAGTATTGCTTTCAAGTGGTAGTTCATGGGCTATTGCACATACTTAATGAATTGTGGTACTGAGGGAGCAGAACGTGGAGCGATGTGGCAGTATTCTATGTCAATATGGCCGCACGTGACACCTTATGTCAATAAGATAACGGAAGAGGACTGAAAGTATCGCGGAAGAAAGTAAGATTTAAAAAAAAACAGCCAGCAGCAGGAAATCAGATTCTAATGGGGCAGCGAACACCGCACCCTAATACATCAAGGTTGGCAGCAAAACAACTAGAAAACCGGAAATAAAAGACGAGTGAGTAAACAAAACGGTGACCCACCAAAGTGCTTTCGCGATACTGCACTAGATGTTCAATCGCAGTGTTGCTAATTTGTCGGGCTCCATTCAATTTCAGGCTAGTCAGGTGCGATAGAGATCTGGCCAGAGCGATTACTGTGTGATCCCGAACCGACTGAGTATAGCTGGCATCGATGTGGCTCAGATTGGGACAGTGCTCAGCAGCCAGAAGCAAAGTGAGATCCCCATCGAACAACCCCTTTGTGCACCCGACGAAGGAGAGTTTCTTCAATTCGGAACCGCATGCCCGGAACAGTTGCCGCAGATCTGGAAGAAGAAGATGTATTGCTACGATCAAAGATAAAAATTCGGAAAAGTGGAGAGTATACGGGTGGGTCAAAGGAATCAAATATGCGAGAGAAATAACTCAACGAAACAGACGACTCGGCATTTATACTTTAAAAAAGACTTAAACAAAAGGTATGGTTCTTCAGATTGGGTCTGCGAAAAGCCGTAAGATCGATAGCATGCTAGCAAAGAAGCACGGTGGGTATGAGTCGAAGGCTATTCATGAGGAAAGTAAAGGTAGAAAATTAGCACAGAATTATCAGTATTTTTAACGATGAATCTGTTAATTTAGCAGTTATAACGACCATGTGTATGGAATGGTAGGAAGTGAAGGATAGAGACAAAAAATGTTGCGAGCAGCAGAGGTGTAAAGCTGCGAGAACAGCCTTAACAACAATACCTGCACTCATGTCAGCATTAACCCAGGCAAAATATGACGCGAGCTGCTCACCGCCATCACCCACAGAAGTTGCAGATATCGTATGTCGCCTGAAGCTGAAGGAAGCTCATGGAGCAGACGAGATTCCAGCCGAATTCTACAAGTCTTTTCTACCAGCCCTCCTTGACCATTTGCATAAACTCTTTCGCTCGATATGGGAGACCGAAGTCTGTCCTTCCTCGTGGGGTGCCTCAGTATTACTGCCATTTCCCAAGAAAGGTGACCGAACTGTGTGCAGTAATTATCGTGAGATTAGCCTAATCGATGTGGCTGCCGAAACCTTCTCACGAATGTAGTGTTCCCGCTTTGTCGTTGAGACGAACCTGCGAACTCGCCATAATCAAATTGGCTTCCGTTCAGGCAGATACTGCACTGACCAAGTCTTCACTCTACGTCGGGTACTCGAACACCGCTACCAGTTCCAGCAGTCCACATCTGCTTGCTTAGTTGATTTCTGAGCTGCCTTTGTCTCACTTGTCGGTGAATCACTCTGGTGAATCTTACTCACCGATGGCGTGCCGGTCAAACTCGTTAATTTAGTGAGATCATACTACGGTTGCACGAAGACCCGGATTCGAGTCTGAAGAAACAAAGGGACTCGACATCAATACTGGGATCCGGCAGGGTTGCCCACCTTCTCCAGTGCTATGTAACTTCACGGACGACTGTGTCACGCATCATGCCCTTGAGAGCTATCGTGGTGTTCAAGTTAGCCCTGACTTCTAGCTGTTAGACCTGGAATTTGCTGGCGACACTGATGTCCGTGCGGAAGATCCTGTCATTACAGTCACTGCCAAATCGGATCGATCAATCAGTCTCTATGATCGGCCTCGAAATTAACATCAGCACGATGAAGTACTTCGCATCGTTGGCCACCCAGTCCGCCCGTAGCTCTCCTTACATGGACAACGTAGCGAGTCTGTTCATTTATTCAAGTACCTTGGATCCACTATTCTCCCCAATGGTCACGCTACATCCGAAATCCGGAATCGTATTGACTGCGACAGAACAGCCTTCTTACAACTGAGAAACATATTGCGACGAAGGACGGAAACCAGTGTGCGAATGAAAATCCGAGTATTCTCAGCAATCTTACGAGCCATTTTACTGGATGGTTGCGAAACATGGCCGCTGCGATCGGGAGACACCGGGAAGCTGGAAGTCTTCGACTATTAGTATTTAAGGCTTATCTTGAAAACGCAGTGGCATGAGCGTATCACTAATGACGAAGTTCGTAGGCTCTATTACGGTCTTCAGAAGCTCACAACGCACATCAAACAAGGCAACCTTCAGTGGTTCGGTCACGTCCACGGCAGACCAGACACTGACTTCACTAGGGCAGTGGTTTTGCCCTCGCCTTGCCAGGGTTGGTGTCGTCGCCGTGGTGGACAACTGAAAACGTAGCTCGCTGCAGTTAAATCGGATGTCGATCTTCTGGAACTCTAGGTTGTGCATGGTGCTCGTCACTAGTGAAATCATTGGATCAGTATTTGCGTGGAGCTTGCCGCTGACCACCGACGCTTGGGCAGCTGCAGTTCACGACATTCATGAAGCCGGCTCATCCTGTCGCAGGAGTTAGCTATAGTAAGATGAGTAAGTAAGTAAGTAAGATGAGGGATCGAACGACCTAGGTGTTTGAAACCTATGACAAGAGACTAGGTCATGTGTGTGGCATTGAACTATTGCAGCAATATGATGTATCAATGTTAGAAGTCTCCTTGCGAAGTCGATCGCTAAAATTAAATATACTAACTAAAAAGCTGTCAACACGCACAAAATAGTCGTGATTCCCTGAAACTACGATAACAAAAAGTAGGCATCACTGTGGTCCAGAGACAGAACAAGTTGTTGACATCTACCTGTCGTGTCCTACGGGTGGTGTGGAGAAGGGGTCAGAGGAATTGAACTGCAATCACTTGGACTGATTATTAAGTGAGCCGTCATGCGTGAGCAACACCAAGTGCTATATAACGACAAGAGAAACTCGTCGAAGGAAGATAGAATTTGGTTCGCACTGCATAGACTAGCCTGTTAGACAGTGAGATGTATCTCCACATGCAGGTTCTCTAGGTGTTAATGGTGGTTCTTAGCTTCTTAGGTTATAGTGCAAATGGAAGATAGACAAAAGAACATATCAGCTAGCTGCATGTCAGTCGCAATATGGAACGGGATCAGTAGCACAGTGGTCTCTGGGTAGAATTGATGCATCGGGGTGATGAACAGAAAACACGACTTCGGACACCTGCCTCAGAGAAGGTATCGACAAGAATGACGCATGTGAGCACAAGCTGAAAATGGAAAACTGCTTGAGTGTTGTTAGAACACATTCTCCGTGTCGCGACGATCAAATGGGTTGTGGCAGAGGGGTGAATCCCGACTGGCTTTCATAAATGTCGCCAACTCCATACAAGGTTACCGGGGAGCATAAGGAACAACAATCGAAGAGAGGGATGAAAGTCAGAGGTGGGAAGAGTATCCAGAGGAAGAAACGATCTTGTAGATAAAAGGTCGGCTGGATAATCATGCTCACCGGCCCCATAGACAGGGAGTGACGAAAAGCGGTTACGAATGTGGGACAAGAGTGGTTAAGCCGCTTTTCGGTAGAACGTAGAGGAATCAATCGTCAAAGATGATAAAATCACCTGTGGACAAGGACCGACGGGGTTTTGCTCTGATGTAAATGTAGTTCCCACCACAACAGACCCAGGGTTTGACAAAATATGTGCTCCCTGAGATAGCACATTGCTACTTCTCCTTAAAAAGTGTCAACACCGGGGGACCATCGAGACGGTAGTAGAATATGGCGTGAAAATGGAAAGCAGTGAATATCACATCGGTGAGAGAGAGCATCCACACTCGCAATCGCACACAGTGCAGTGAAACGTGTCTGTTCAAAATTACCTAGGTTGTTTCAGTCAATCAGATAGGATTAGGGTACAAAAATGTGTTGGGTCGACCATATAGGATGCATCACGCTTTTTTAGCTCCTCTGTGGGTTCTGTTTGATGCTGTTATCATGCTTTGTTCTCTCGAGATATACCGGATATCACGTAGGCTCAGTGTCCACGTTCTCTGCTCTTGTTTGACTAAGCCTGAGACTTCACCTAGAGATTTGCATTCCGCAACGGTCGTTGATTGTGCATTCAAACATCGCTTGACTGAAGAATCGAGGCTCTGTACATACCACATCACCAGTGCATTTTGCTTTCAACGCACGTTTCGCAAGTTCATAGGCTGATTTAAAATTGCTGTCGGGTTCCAGCAGATGCAAAAAACAACTTCAGGTGAATTAGCATCGACACTCATTAATCTTGTCCTGGAGGGTTAAATACACTTTCTTCATACGTTGGTCAGATGTTTCGATATTCAATGTGGATGACGAGTTCGAGTATCTAGACAAATGCATAGATGTAAAGTGGGATCGCAAAACGTACAACATGCACCCGAACTATCATAACTTATCCGCACCATTTGTGGTATCAATCGACCTCAATTCTCCAACTAGGTGAAGAATATGCACTTATCTATTCCGGACGACTATGCGACTTCGATGCTCTACCAAACAAGCAAAGTTGATGGATTGCACATAACGATCAGTGCTCGGGTTTAACGAAGTAGCGGACAAGTCACGCCTTTGAATTACAGAGTATGTGCTGCAATCCGTCAGTGAACACCTTGTGGTACCTACTGTCCGGGAAACCCAGCAACTGGCAGAGTATGAACCACAGATCACAGCGGTTATGACTTTTGCTGCAGCTCCCCGGACATAATAGCTTGAGTTTATAGGGTGCTGACTCTCTGCCATTACTCAAGTTACTCCAACAGTCTAACTAGTTGCTGACTAAAGCGCAAAAACAAGTTGACTCGACCAATCGGGTTTGAAACATAGAGCATTTGTTGGTGATGTACACCATCCATTAGAAGCTCCGATGCATTTTTGAACATAGTGGACTGTTTCATCATTCTCTCCGTCAACCCTTAGTCTAGAGACATCGCAACACTATCGGCTGCCGTCAGCGAGGAGCAATTCGAAGGTTGCCAACTATGGAGCGTCAGGTACAACTAAACTTGCTGGTACCATTATTCTTCATGGGATTTTCGAAGTGATCAAGGTTTATTTCCTATGGACACATTCTGGTTGGTCACCAAAATGCACAAGAAGGTAGCTACCACAGATAGTATAGGAAAGTGATCGGCGCAGTGTTCCATCATATGATATCGCACAGCAGATAAGCATCAGTATATCACGTTAGTGAGTTTATGACATCTTAAGCTGACAACACGTTGTGTCAGCAGAACTGCACCTCGTTCGCAACCGTCATTGTTTATGACCCTGATTGGGATAGCTGCCAGTTGTGTAGGGCTCCTTCTGACTCAGGGCGTAGATTAGCCAAGAGCCAGCTGGGTTAGTTTTCGGGTTAATAAAATATTTTGTGGATCGATGAGCGCGATGAGGTAGAGCACTGATACTTCAAGCGCAACTCTCTGGTTGCAAAACACGCGTCCAGAACATGTTGGATCACCTGCTGAACTTCTTTCTCGTGACATAGGTGTCAGCTGTGCGATATATTCTCGTCACGGGTTTCGCAAATAAGCGGAAAAAGTCACCTGCCTCATCTAGGAGCTGTCCTTTGATAAAACTCACACTAACAGGAAAATTAGGCTCGTGTCTAAATCCGGAAAAAACTACACATTGCGTCCTACAATTTCTGCACTGTGGGACGAATCGGTTAGTAGACCTTGTCCACTGATTTTGCACTCTATCAGAGTGAAAGTGGTTTGCGTCTCTGATAAAGGTGTACAGGAGGGCAGCGTCGCAGTTCGTCCGCACTTACCGAGCTCTGACACTGCAGCATCCTCTCGGCTAATGTACCGAGCCCCTCGTATTCCTTATCTGCATCTGCCGGCGTGTGTCAGTAACCCGCTCACCCACTTATCGATTGACCTAAGTAAGAATAACGGATCGATGCGTTGTACAACATGCTGGTTAGAATACAGTTTTGCCTTCCGTGTTTTGCTTTGTGATACAGGCCAAGAGCCAGCCACTGTGCGTTAGTTCCGCAATTGCTAAACTGTGGCATTTGGCGACGAAGGTTAAGCTTGGAATTATTTACTACGAGCCATCTCACCCCGCCTGATACCTTTTAGAAGGACAGGTCGCCCAAGCCATCCTTAGCAGTTTGGAATCCTTGGAAACAAACCTACTGTGACTACCATGGGCTTTCACAATTACACACCCCCATATCAAACTTAGTGAAACCCAATCTATCAAACGACTGAGACAACACGGTGCAGGAGGTCAACGGGGTTTTGATGCATTGCGTTCGTACGAAAGAACATCCCTGAAGGACTGCTTTAACGCCCTGGATGGCCTTTGGGACCACGGCAACATATATGCCCTAATTTGAATCATGTGACTGATTGGACACACACGGTTGGTGGCCGGTTTGACATGCGGCGTGAACATTGTTTTCTACCCGGTCGTTCGTGTTCTCACTACCGTAAAGCGGGAGGGGAAACAGTCGCGGGGCTTCAACACAACAGATTTTCTGGCGACGAGAGGTGTTGAATAATCATGGCTATTTCATTCGAACAGATGAAGTCCCTCCTCCTCCAGCAGCAGCAATTGCATTTTGAAAAGTCTCAACGGCAGTTAATTGAGTTGTTCTCAGAAAAACTGCACATCCAAGTGGATTGGGAACCGGAACTAAGGTTGGCATTATATGGAATTGTATCTGAATGCTATAAGCTGCTCAATTTGAACAATGACACAAAAAGGATTGAAATTTCGGATTCCAGAACAGAACCCAATCCTTTCATTCAGTTATTCGTGGCTAACATTTGAACTGTGATGTGCCGGACCGGAAGCCCCCGACCGCATTTTGGAACGGTGGTGAGGTGCAACCAACGAGAGATTGCGCCTACAAAAGTCCGCACTGTCAAGAAGCGCGCAACTTCAGGCGTGTGCGTACTCCAAGGGTGCAAGCATGCTTGAAACTGAAAAGGACCAGATTCCACGATGTATCGTTTTGCAGGGAAGAGAAGACGCCAGACAATGATACGCGATTATGTTCCTGTGTCCCTACAGCCACAAACAGTGTCTGATATCACGATCGTTTCTCGATCGATGAGGACAAAAATTGACAAGAGGTCGGTCAAATTAACCAAACACATGGCCCGAAATTCACCAGGGGTACTGTTATAACCAGACAGAGTAACGCCTGTAAACAAAGACTCAAGGAAATGCAACGCCTGGAAAGCATTTACCTAGCCAGACGTACGGACATTAATCTGCCCAAAGTGGAAGAAGTTCAGAAGTTATACTTGCTCAATGAGTCAAGAAATCATGTCATGTCTTGCACTAAAGGGGATAAATGTCCCGAATACTCCTGTGCTGACAACGTACTAGAACGAACGACACTGCACACTTGGTCTGAGCCCGAACCACCTTGGTGTTGGATGCATGTGGACCCACATGGGTCCACTTGTGTGAAGAGGTATACTGTCCTCAGGATACTCACCTTTTTCAAGGAGAGGTGTTATAGCGGTGGTAAGAAAACTCCACCACTCCCCGTTGTTTTGTGAGTTTGCCCCATTCACTCTTATTCATACCGTCCTCTTTTACGGTTCCTCGCATACGTTCACTTTTGCCTCACATTTGTGATTAGCTTGTATTGACACTGAATCTTGTGCTTAATGGCTTTTCCCTTACTCTGTACATTTCGCTCGTTCGTGAGACACCGTATCAATCCTTCGCCCCTGGAATGACTAGCTTTGATTAGTCGATTTTCAGCCATTCTGCATAGTCTGTGTATATGTCCTAATTTGAATCATGTGATTGAGTGGACACACAGACGGTTGATGGCCGGTTTGGCATGCGGTATGAACATCGTTTTCTACCCGGTCGCGGGGCTCCGACACAACACTCCTCGAAATGTTGTGTGTGTTGCCCAACGCTGCACAGCCCCGACTGCTTTCGAGCTTGTTTGCACCATCCTGGTAGAGAAACCCAGTCTCAGTGACCGGACAGATCGAGATACACTTCGAAATTAATCCCCAGTCTCAATCGATCCGCTCAACTGGTACTGGAAAACAAACCAACAACTGTTCTGGAATGCTTTCGCGTACGTCACTGAAATCTCGGTACAAGAAAACTTCAATTCTCTGGGGCCAAACTTAGTAACCAGTGAGCGTGTTAATCTTATCAAATTGTGATCGATGATCATGAAATACCAACCATGATATTGACCAAGAATTGAGAAACAAAGACTTTAAACGGTTAACAGAGAGCGGTGGTAAAAATGTATGCGGCTTACACGGTAGCAAGGCGCAAATGTGTGGTCGAGCCGCATTGTGACTATGCCAAACAGTAATGTGGGAACTCAAGGATAAGGGTTAAGGAAGTGCGGGGGAAATGGAATGCGGAATTACGTCAAATGCATTGCCACCGATTGACTTACTTTCTTCAGCTATTTTATCTCCATGACAATAGGACAGATGGAGCTCGCGTGGCCGTAACCGCCCAATCGAAGCCAAAGCAGTGTTATCCAGATGCTGGCGCCGGTGGAGTTGAATCACTCTCCATAGAGAACGATCAACTACCATATGAGACAAGCGTCGACATGTGAGCGCAAGGCGAGCGCGATCCGCCGTCGGAAGGGGTTCGATGATGCGCAGCCACAATTCATCAGGTAGGCGTGACCAAGTCGGCTGGTCATCCAGTGCCAAATTAAGTTCCGCACTGGCTTCGGAATTACTTGAGTGAATACAGGAAGACTCTGCTCGCATAAGTACTGGAGCTGTAGAGTTTACAAGGTCCAAGCGGTCAGCATCTCGGGATTCTTCGGGAACAGGATACTCTGAACATGTTTCCTCCTGTTTGGATATCAATTCGTTTGGATGACTCGATCCAAGCCCATGATCTCGCTGTCTATCGTGTGGGTTCTTTCGCCTTGTCTGATTAACTCGAGAAACGAAGGTCCCAGAACGTGTACATTTGCTACGCCTGTGTTCAGAGATAGTACAGAAAGATCAATGCTTTTACAATGGTCGAATAGTAGAAGATATGAGAAACATAACGTGTAAAATTATCCGGTAACTGTTTTTGAATGAAGAGTAAGGTAGTGACTCATATTTGTAAACTTATGTGAGGATTTAAAACAATTAGATCCATTTAGTAATTTGAATAAAGCTGTAAGAAGCTGAACACTGGAAGATGTCAACATTTCGTAATATCTTAGGTGCCAATACAATAACATGAAAATATATGAGTTGACAGGTAGAGTGAGACCGGAACGTATAGATATTTTCATGTTATTGTGTTAGCATTTAAGAGACAATAGGTAATGTTGACATCTACCAATGTTCGTCTCCTTACGGCTCTATTCAGATTATGAGGTTTGCCCGTCTATTTCACGTGAGCACTAACTCCAGACACAGCACTCACAGAGGAGTGATATGAAGCCCGCCAGCCTCGGACAAGGCATGAACGCAAATCGACCACATCGAGTTCAGCTATCGCTGGAGAAGCTGTTGCTCGATTTAGAGCACGAGTGTCGACTATGGCCACAAACTTGTATGTGCAGATTTTCGGCTTCACTTCGGTGGATGCCAGCGGCGACGCTGTGAGCTCATGGACGACAGCCAAATGGCGGAGTCAGGTGTTCTGAATGCATATCAAACTGCTTTGGCATGTAGGTTGAGTAAGTGCTCAGTGAACACAGTTGAGTCATTGGTCGCATATCCGCCAGACTTTAGTAGCAACAGGCATATCTCCATGTGGTAATTTAAATTGCTAGCATAAACATTGGGAATATACGCAGTCTATGGGACTTCACAATGCTTGCCGACATATTCCGGCTGGGTGAGAATACAACGAGACTCGTAAGGACCTCAAGACGAAACCACTTGGTAACCTGAAGATAGACCAAGAAGCATGGTGGTCACCGTGCATCGGAGACGGGAATGACTGTTACCTTCGGAAATCACCGCAAGTTATTCCGTCTGATATATGAAATGGGCAACAAGAGAACTGATGTAAGACTACATGCGACGAGTGGACAGCCAATTCACAGCTTGTCAAAACGCTTGGGGGGGGGGGGTTGAGCCGAACACTATAAAAAGCAGTAATCAAACTTCTTTCTGGGCTGTCCTCTTGGATCGGCCTTCATGCGTAGATGTCGTAGGTGAGATCCCTGTTGAACTTCAATGAGGCCAAGGCAGCAGCTCATGTGGATTAGTTGCACAGCTAACTAGTGAAGCTGTTGGAGCAGGAGACTGTCCCAACAAACTGGATCCGATCCGACAGTCCCGATTTTGAAGGGTGACTCACGTTAGGAATGTGGTAAACATAGAGGAATCAGCCTGATGTCAGTTGTTTTTAAAGTACTTGTCTCTGCCATTTTCTATAGACCGACTAGTACCAATGAGGGCCCTATTTGCAAAGAGAAAGCCGGCTTTCGTCAGTTGTTGGAACATCGTCATATTCATTGTTAACCCAGTGGAGTTGCTTTCCTCGACATACTGCATAGAATTCGTTTTGTAGGGAAAATATATCTGATCTATTTGTCTAAAGAGAAAGTAAATCAAAGAGAGCGAAGGAGAATCTGTGTGAACGCCATTTGAAATCTGGTGGGCACTGGTATACTTCAGCATCCGAGCATGACATGGGTTCATTGCTACTTCTCCTTAAAAATGTCGAGGCGGCAGTAGAATTTGGCTTGAAAATGGAAAGCATCGAATATCACGTCGGTGGAGGATAGTACTTACACTCGCAACTACACAAAGCTCGGTGAAACGTGTCTGTACAAAAATGCCTAGTTAGCTCCAGTTAATCAGATAGGACTAGAGCACAAAAATATGGTGGGTCACATTTTCATGATCTCCTGTGGTACAAATTGTTAAACGTAAGCCAAATAGAAAAAAAAATAAACACCCAGCTGATGGAATTTGATCTCGGGACATGATTGATTGCGGTTTGCTAGGAGAAGTAAATGCGCAGTAGGCGCAATGCTCAACCATCCCCAGACTGTACCAACATTTAGTGCATCGATCTAGAGTGACCGGTCTGAGCGTGACGTTAATGGTACTTCCAAGTTTGTGTTAGGACATTTATGTGGACAGATAGTGAAGAATTGACGAGAATGATCACAAATGACCAAGCCACATACAGTGTTGGCAAAACTATTCTAAATTTAATGCATTCAGGAGACATTTTGCATATTTCTTCACATTTCTCGTAAGAATCAAATGATTTTACTGTGAACTGATTGCATTTTAGAAAGAAAACATATACTGATTACAAATTCATCAAGATTAATATTTTATAGATGATCCTTTGACGACCTTCAAGGAATTAACACGCAAAGGCATCGAGTGAATAAGCTTGGCAAGTGGTGTCAAATTGGTTGTTACATGCACAGTAGTTATGTATACGGACGGTTACATTATTTTAAATCTTAATTTCTTTTTTCCTACTTTAGGCTACATTTCTGGATTACATTTGTCTAGTTTTGACCAAGTTATTATTATATTTAATTACTTTTACTTCTATTTTTCAAGGTATCTTCTCAAGTAACGACGCAACCGTATCGACCGAGTTTTTAGATTGTATTAGCATATTAACGGGTAAATTACGTGACCTAACCCCTCGAAAACATGCAAAGATTAAAATTTGGTTGAAAAGTGTTAAAGAGCAGAAGTTGCAATCAAGATTGGCGTTAGCCCAGCGTCTATATGCTAAATTCGAAAAAAATTGCAAAAGAATTTACCCCTGTCCCCTAAACATTCTGGTAAATGTGGTTGCAGAAATGCAACAACTTGAGACGACTCACTTCTGCTTAGAGAATGCCAAAAAAATCGCAAAGCATCTAGCAGACAACTACAAGGAATGTTATAACAGCATGAGGTTTCAGTAAGTTGCAGAACTGTAAGATGACTTTTTGATTCTGGACTTCGAGTCTGCAGGCCTCTGAGGAAGCAAAGGTTGACCAAATAAATGAAAGAAAAACGACAAGAATGGGCCAAAAAGCGTAACAAATGGTCAAAAGAAGAATGAGAGCGAGTAAGAAGCACAAGCTTTATTTTTATAAGGATTTTTGAGAAAAATTGTGCCTACGTTGCTTGGGTATTTCTAACTGCTTTGCTGCGTTTTATTTTAGGTGGTTTACAGCGAGGAGTGATCATCCGGTGCCTTGACCAGCAATCTCTATCTATCCGGCGATTACCTGGAGAAGAGCTGAGAAAAGATTGTACCGTTCAACGAGTCAAGCATCCCACTGAGGTCTTGATATGGAGCGTTATGAGCATCTACGGAAATGGTTGGCTTTACATCGTAATTGGTAACATGAACCAGCAGCAGCAGCACAAAACACTGCTAGAGCACCAATTGATCCTTCAGGTGTGTGAATGGGCAAAGAACATAGGATTTACAGGGACAGGAGACTTCATTTTCATACGTGACAGTGCTCCATCTCACAAAGGGCGTGAAGTCACCCGTTTTCTTGAGGGTTGTGGTATAGAAGTGTTACCATGACCTGGTAATAGGCCTGACATGAATCTACTAGAGAACTTATGGGCAATTCTAAAATTGATGAAAAAAATTATTACAGGAGAGCAGCAGCTTATTGAAGAAAATATAGCGACCTGGAGGTGCAGTGAAAGCATGACTGAACGTTGCAAAAAACTCATTCACTCCATGACTTTGCGTGTTAACTGTAAAATTGCTAAATGATCATTTACAAAGTATTAACCTGGATGAATTTCTAATCGATATATGTTTTTCTTGGAAAATATAATCAGTTGAAAGTTAAATCATCTGAGAAATGTGAAGAAATATGAAAAGAGTTTGCCGAATTCGACAATTTATACTAATTGGGTCAACACTGTAGATGAAAGCGGCGGGATATCGAACTGAAGTCAAGGGGTGGTGAAAATATGCCGTGACTGACTGTACAGAAGCAGACGCGAACAGCATCACTAGTCCATCTTCGGTGGATAAGTACAAACTGGCTTTGCGTGCTTTACTAGCGATTCCCCCTATCGGTTCGTTGTTTGTTTGAGGGTGAGAAAGTAGCTAAAAAAGAACGACACTTTAACTCACTTTGTTTTTGTTAGGAAGGAATCGTGAGCGAGCCAAACGGGTCGTGAAGATGGCCAGCTACAAAACCGCTGGTTGGGACCGTGTGAGGCTGTGGTGGGTATGGCATGTCTAGCTTGATGGAAATCAGAGTCCGTACTAGGAATGTGGGTATTGGATGAAGGAGCCGTATCGTTGCCAAAGATGACGAACGCATCAGGCGGGGTTTGTGAACATTCGGATAAATACTTGAGACGGCGATAGTTGCGTTTTGATTTCCGACGTGCTTTCGTAAAATGTTCAGGTTGGGAAACAGGACAACATGTAAACTGGTTGCACACGCCCAAAGAAGGACTAATCGCTCCTTGTATATGGTTGAAATGCGGCTGAAAACTGTTCGATGAATATGTCTTGTCTATCTCTTGAGTTAGAGGCCACCAGATGTTTTGAAGACCTATCGAGAACGGAGGGCCCGGATGTAAGCTCAGGGAAACAGGATGAATGAAAGAATCATAGTTTACCACTTGATGAGCTGCTGGAATTAGATGGGCAGTTCGGTGCTCAGAATGAAGTCTACAATCTTCGGACCAGCTGGAACTGCTGACCGGTCCGGAAACGCAGCGTTGACGACAAAATCGGGATGCGGCCGAACCAGTTTGAATATCTTCTGAATAGAGTTCAGGTCCCCAGGTGACCAGTGGAACACTGCACCCTCTGCGGCTTGGACTTTCGGATGTTAAATCTCCTAAGGTTGTTAAAGATCCCGGTTGTAAACTCATTACATTGAAATTGGAGCGCAATGCCTCTAGTTGTGCAGTGTCTGAAGAAACGCGGGCTTGAATTAAATAATAAAGCTGATTACACCGGTTAGTGGCAGCGGGTGACAAAGCGCCTCCCCCATTTGTAAAGTCGTGGGTTAAGTCTGAGAAAACAGACGATATGTCGTTGATCGAAGACCTCATGGCTATGTTTGCCGCATTATCGTGTGAATAAGCGGGTGGAGAACTAGTAGTTTGGAAACACCGCTGATGCGTCGGAGAGTAGCCCAGGGATGGTGGCGGGAAGCCTTTACATTGTTCATCAGAAGCACTGGTAATGGGCTCAGGTGGGGGCATTTTTTCGCAACCTAGTGTGGCGCAGTTGGTGATACAATCGTCAGGGTCAGATGGACGTAGATCGGAACCGAGTAACAATTCGCCGCAATTGGTGCACCAATTAGTGGCAAAGCACCACGCAGAACACCGCGGGCAGGACAGCTGTTGTCGATAACTTGGCTGAGAGCCAGTCCATCCTGGCGATTTGGAAGGAAAGGATGAGACACAATCACCGCAATCATTGCAGATACCTTGCAAAACGGCAGGACCATGAAAAAACTGACCAGCTGCGAACGACGATTCGGGAAACATGGTAGCTGCGTGAAGCGGTGCGGGTGAATAGAAATGTGAAGCTTTATTGGAATTCATGTTAGCACAAGATGAGGCAGTGAGAAGACCCTGAAAAGATAAATAGAAGCTGCAGATATCGCACACTCATGGAGGTCAGCCGGAAAAAGAGCTGAAAGAATTATACACATGCACATTACACATATATAGATAGATATGTATATGAATAAATAAATAAATAGTTGCCGGCACCCGGTTCCGGATTTGCCCGTCAACGTAGCCCCCATAGGACAGCCACAGGACGCCTGAGGCTACAGAGGGACCATGAGTGGCTTGCGCTGCATTACCCACAGCTCCATCCACACCCACCATATCCAGTGTCAATCCGAAGAAACAAGACCGAAAGAAATGCGGATGGCAGCCAAGTTTCATCAACGGAGCCGGCCCACACTCCTTCACAGGCGACCAAGCAAGCTGTATTGGAGAATCAAGCGCACATTAGGCGTTGGCTAGACCGCAGCCCGCTACACACTGGATGGAATAACTCAAAGAGCCTAGCACCGCCACAAGGACCGTGCACCCCGTCCCCCCAGCAACGATTCAGTCTCCTGGAGCCAATATGGACGAGGTGGACGGTGTTAGACAGGTAGGCACCTTGTCAACATGCACATCAAGCGCAGCCACACCGGGGATGTCACACAACAACCAAGCACTTGAACTGACAATTTCAGATAATAGTTATCGCATAAAGCATACGGATAAACCGAGTTAACTCTTCGTTAGAGGAGTATATGAAATAAATTGGTTATCAACAAATCCGAAATAAATTCAAGATGTCAGAAAAAGATATCTTTAAAAATGTCTTAAACGCGAACTAACTGCTTAAGTGAGGTGTGTAAGTAAAAAGAAGCTTATTCAGACAGACATCTAAATGCTATAACATAGTAGACATTAACAAAAGATAGCAAACCAATCACCTGAAATAAAGAAACGGCACGCATGCATGCAGTTAGTAAATCGAATGCAGCTTACCTACAAACGCTGCGCCGGTTCTGCCTACCTTCTCAGCAGCATGCGTCGTTTCTGATGCAGGTTCTGAGTGACCTCGCTCGAGGCTCACTAGGCCTGCGTGACTCATGCACTCATGACCACAAGTGCTACAGCACCATGCGCCCGATGTCGATAGAGTACAACCCATCGATGGTTGCTGCTGCCGCACCTGCCATTTCTCCGCATGTATGAGGGCTTTCGCTTGCACCACGGCAACTGCCCTCGTAATTAGGTAGCGCCATGCACGCCGATCAACCACTATTGATTCCCATGACTCGCAATCAATATTAGAACGTGATAGACCCAGTTTGATTATGTCTTGGTAACGAAGCTTCGGTTTCCCCGCATGCCGCTTCCCAACACTCAGCTGACAATATAATAGCTGCTTCGGTATCCGCGTCGAATCCATACGCCACACATGACCGAGCCATCTCAGGTGTCTCAGCAAAAGTATGCAGTCCACTGCATACACCAACTTCGACGCAACACTTCCGAGTCAGCAACTATGTGGCCGCAACCAATGCGCAAAATTCGTCGCAGACAGTGTTGATGAAACCGCTCGAGGTATCTCACATCTCACCGGCACATCGTCCAGGTTGTGCTGCCGTTTCACTGCCGTACAGAAGAACGGACAGCACCATGGAATTGTACACCATCAGCTTCGTGCCAATGGTAAGCTGATGGTTGTTCCACACTCGGTACTCTTGCTTCCCGAATGCCGCCGCTGCCTTCAACACGTGCATACGCAGCTCACTGTGTAGCTACTGGTCAGTCGAAACCACACTTGCACGGTAGCAGAAGCGGGACGTGGTTTCCAATACTTCAGTAACAATGCTGACTCGCGGCAATATTGAAGATTGCACCTCCGGTGAAGGCTGGAAGAGACAGACAGTTGTGCTTGTGTTGATGGTGAGCCCGAATTTGGCCGTTGTCGAAGCCAGAGCACTAGTCATGTGCTGCAACTCATCCGCGCTGTGTGCAAACAACGCACAGTCGTCAGCAAACAGCAACATTTGGATAGTTGTCTCACACACTAGAGTCCTCGCACCGAAACGACGGATGTTCAGCAACCCACCATCAATACGGTGCTCCACACGAACCCCGTAAACACAAACGGCATCAAAAGCACAAGACATCATTGCATGAAGATATAGATTAAACAGGGCAGGAGCTAAGACACAGCCTTGCTTCACACCAGTGGCAACTGCAAAATCACCCGAGGTCTCTCCACACAGCTGCATTTCCGCCCGCATACCACTGTGCAGACATACAATTAGACTTACAAACTTACGCGGGCAACCAAACTTATCCAACACCAGCCACAATTCCTCGCGGTTCACCGTATCAAATGTCTTGGTGAAATCAACAAAGAGGGAGTACAACGGCTGATGTCGTTCTCTGCACTTCTCCTGCAGCTGACGAGCCGCAAACACCATATCTATCGTGCTGTGACCCGAACGGAATCCCCACTGCTCTTCCGACACGTTCGGTTCCACAACCTGACTAACGAGGCGGTTGAGCAGGATTCGGGCAATCACCTTGCCCACACAACTCAACAAGTTAATGCCACGATAATTCGTGCAACATGGCTTGCTCCCTTTGCCCTTGTACAGTGGGAGCACAAGGGCATCCTTCAGCTCAGCAAGCACCTCTGCCTCAATCCACACGCGTTGCACCAAGTGGTGCAGCGCAGTCACCAACGCGGGTCTGCCGTGTTTCAATACTTCAGGCGGCGTCCAGTCAGCACGGGCACACTTGCGATTTCGCAGCTGAGCAAGTGCTCTCTGCGTCTCATCCTGTGTCGGCGTGTCCGCCAGACTCGACTTCACATCGTGCTGTCTCAGTCCGTTCAATGTAGGCCAGTCGATCTCTGAACGGTTGTTCAAGAGACAGACAAAGTGTTTTTGCCAGATCTGCATTATGTCTACAGTCTGTGCAGGTAGCGCCTGAACTACTATCGATCGGTGTCTTCACCGGTTCCAACCTTGGTGCATACATTCTGCCTTCAAGAAGTCAAAGAATTCCTTTTGTTGGCGACGTTCGGTGTAGCATTCCACCTGCTTCGCCTTCTCTGTCCCCCACGTATTTTTAATGCGACGGAGCGCTCGGCTCAGTCGCCGTCGTAGTTTGCGAAACTCTCTTCTTCCCCACGACACAGGGGTCTGCCACATGTGCAGCAAATGCTGCATTCTTATCCGACACCAATGCGCCGATCGTCGCATTGTTCTCATCAAATCAATCAGGCCATTTACAGTTTGCGCGCCCGATGGTTTCCTCGGCAGCAGCTCTCACCTGGTCGCGAATGTGGTGCTACAGGTCGCCCACTGTGGCTATACACTCCACACCACACAGGCGTGCAGCTATCGGCTTCTCCAGCTCAATACGTTTCGCCACAGTACCTAGGGAGAGAACGTTATATTTACACCGATTCACGGCGGCAGTGCAATACATAGATTTACGAAAATATATGTACAGGTTCAGTTGCTGATTTCTTCGCCGAGCTGCGAAATTTGTTTCCAAATGTTTCAGCGCCATGCGAGGCGGCATCATCAGTGTGTCGAGATGTCGAGTGTAATCTCGCTGATTGAATTGTCGACCCGTGAACGGCGTGCAGGTGACTTTTCGAAAGTGACGGCTTCGATCTGTGTCCCGTGATCTCTACCCATTTCCCCGTGCCGGAGGTCGTCGCTTGGGTTGTTCCTATTCAAGCGGCGTCTCATAATTTCTGTAAGTTCTCTCCGTCGGAGGGGTTGGTAAACTGGGTAAATCTCGATATGCATGTTGATCGAGTCTTTTGTTGAGAACCACACTTCCAGGAATTCCCTTGCTCTTCGTGTTTCACCTCGTGCCAGGACTTCTGTTTTAGCCCAATCAAAACTGTGTTCTTTTTCATCCACGTCTGCTGAGACTAGCGAAGATGCATAGTGTCTTTTGCATGCTCTTTTGTGCTCTTGTAATCGTGTTGTTAATTTTCTGCCTATTTGGCCAACATAGTCCTTTTCGCAATTTCTACAACTTAGTCTATATACGACATTGCTTTGCTCATGAGCTTCCAGTTTCTCTTTCGGTTTTGACAGCGTTTTTCTCAATGTAGCAGTTAGTTTGTGTGCTACGATGAGGTGATGTTGTTTGAATAGTCTTGCTGCCATTTCGGATATATTCTTCATATATGGTAAAACAACGCGTCTCTCCGTCGTTGGTGTAGATTGTCTGTTTGGTTTGTTGTGGTTCAGACACCTTCGGATGAAGCTTCGCGGATATCCGTTGAGTTGGAAACATTTAAATAGATGCTTCTCTTCTTGTTGCTTTGCATCCGTGGTACTGCAGTGTGTTTGCACTCTACCAAATAGTGTTCGCACACAGCTTACTTTGTGCAAACACACTGCAGTACCACGGATGCAAAGCAACAAGAAGAGAAGCATCTATTTAAATGTTTCCAACTCAACGGATATCCGCGAAGCTTCATCCGAAGGTGTCTGAACCACAACAAACCAAACAGACAATCTACACCAACGACGGAGAGACGCGTTGTTTTACCATATATGAAGAATATATCCGAAATGGCAGCAAGACTATTCAAACAACATCACCTCATCGTAGCACACAAACTAACTGCTACATTGAGAAAAACGCTGTCAAAACCGAAAGAGAAACTGGAAGCTCATGAGCAAAGCAATGTCGTATATAGACTAAGTTGTAGAAATTGCGAAAAGGACTATGTTGGCCAAATAGACAGAAAATTAACAACACGATTACAAGAGCACAAAAGAGCATGCAAAAGACACTATGCATCTTCGCTAGTCTCAGCAGACGTGGATGAAAAAGAACACAGTTTTGATTGGGCTAAAACAGAAGTCCTGGCACGAGGTGAAACACGAAGAGCAAGGGAATTCCTGGAAGCGTGGTTCTCAACAAAAGACTCGATCAACATGCATATCGAGATTTATCCAGTTTACCAACCCCTCCGACGGAGAGAACTTACAGAAATTATGAGACGCCGCTTGAATAGGAACAACCCAAGCGACGACCTCCGGCACGGGGAAATGGGTAGAGATCACGGG